GCTTTTATTCTCATAACCCATAATATGATTAAAAGGCTGTCCAATAAAATCCTATCCACTACGACACATGGTGTAATTTGATTGGGCATTAGAGTTTCCAATCAATGAAAAAGTGACAAGTGACACAATTTAGGGTCAAGAATAAAAAAGGGCCAAAAAGGTGGAAGACTTGTCTTCCACCCATTTTTGCTTAGCCAAAATCATTTGTGTGTGAGAGAGAGAGAGAGCCACCGAGCTCTTCAATCTTCTTCTTCTTCTACTCACCAAAAGTCAAGATCAAACCATTGGATCATTAGACACTAAGAACAAAAGTTGTTCTACTCGATGAAAGCTACGCGCCAACACCAACAATGACCATTTTCCGCAATTTTCGGAAATCAAGAGTTTAGAGTTAGGTCTTTGAAGAGCTTATTTTGAGCATTCTAAAGAGATTCTCAACTTCGAGAACGCTACAAAGGGTGAGGGTAAGGGTTTCCTCCTATTTAGGATTACTTTCAATTCTAAGTATGTATATGGTATGGGTAAGATTTTATATAGAATAATTGCATATATACAATGTAACTAATGTAGCTAGTGGGCTGTTTGATGAATCAATGAGCATGCTAGACCAATTTCTATTTGATTTGGGTGTTGAACATGTCAAATGTGTAATGAGTGGACATGTAATGTGTTTACATTTATGCACTCTTGGTGTTTGATAAAATGTCTAAATGTATTGAAATATGTTATTTGAGTTAATTAAAGCTTATAACATGTTTGGTGATATGCTAAAATATTTATTATGTGCTCAATGCTATAATTGACATTGTGCTTCCAATTAAATTGCAATTGTACATTACATTCCACGTGCATAGGTGAACACTACATTCTTGGAACATGTCATGATTGTGAGTGTTGTACATGGGTTTAATCAATTACCACATAAGTGAATTGATGGGTGGGGCCCAGGAAGATTGGATCAAGGTCTGATTGAGCCTCATAGGATATTACATGAAAATGTGTCGAGGTATAGCAAGACCTAATTTTTCAGTTACACACTTTCTAGTGGCGTAACGAATCCATAAAAGTGTGACAACGTAACATGGAGCCGGAGGTGGGATGTCCTCAAAATCTGTTGTCGATTGGGTAATTCATTGGTAGAAGCCCAAAAAAGTACCTACTCTATAAAGAAACGGAAATAAATAAATAGCCATTGGGTGTGTATAACATCAATAATAGTGTTTAACCAAGATAACACTATTTCCAAATTAATGCCAATCTAATACTCTATCAAAACTAATTCCCATTTTCATATTATTTGCACCACATAAGTTGTTACGTGTACATCAGGGATCAAAGTATCGNAGACACTAAGAACAAAAGTTGTTCTACTCGATGAAAGCTACGCGCCAACACCAACAACGACCATTTTCCGCAATTTTCGGAAATCAAGAGTTTAGAGTTAGGTCTTTGAAGAGCTTATTTTGAGCATTCTAAAGAGATTCTCAACTTCGAGAACGCTACAAAGGGTGAGGGTAAGGGTTTCCTCCTATTTAGGATTACTTTCAATTCTAAGTATGTATATGGTATGGGTAAGATTTTATATAGAATAATTGCATATATACAATGTAACTAATGTAGCTAGTGGGCTGTTTGATGAATCAATGAGCATGCTAGACCAATTTCTATTTGATTTGGGTGTTGAACATGTCAAATGTGTAATGAGTGGACATGTAATGTGTTTACATTTATGCACTCTTGGTGTTTGATAAAATGTCTAAATGTATTGAAATATGTTATTTGAGTTAATTAAAGCTTATAACATGTTTGGTGATATGCTAAAATATTTATTATGTGCTCAATGCTATAATTGACATTGTGCTTCCAATTAAATTGCAATTGTACATTACATTCCACGTGCATAGGTGAACACTACATTCTTGGAACATGTCATGATTGTGAGTGTTGTACATGGGTTTAATCAATTACCACATAAGTGAATTGATGGGTGGGGCCCAGGAAGATTGGATCAAGGTCTGATTGAGCCTCATAGGATATTACATGAAAATGTGTCGAGGTATAGCAAGACCTAATTTTTCAGTTACACACTTTCTAGTGGCGTAACGAATCCATAAAAGTGTCACAATGTAACATGGAGCCGGAGGTGGGATGTCCTCAAAATCTGTTGTCGATTGGGTAATCCATTGGTAGAAGCCCAAAAAAGTACCTACTCTATAAAGAAACGGAAATAAATAAATAGTCATTGGGTGTGTATAACATCAATCATAGTGTTTAACCAAGATAACACTATTTCCAAATTAATGCCAATTTAATACTCTATCAAAACTAAATCCCATTTTCATATTATTTGCACCACATAAGTTGTTACGTGTACATCGGGGATCAAAGTATCAGCAGAGTCCGATATGACTCGGCTAATTCGTATCCGAATCAGCCACCACCGATCCGATAACGATATGCGTTACACAAATATCCCGAATCTTACATGACTCGGTAATAACTCGGTCATATCGGTACAACTCGAAGTTGACTTGCAATGACTCAGACGAGTCAAATCAAAATCGGCCCGATATAGTGTAGTCTTCTTCAAAATCCTCAAATTCTCAATAAAAAAGAAAAAACAAAAGCAAAACAGAAAGAAAGAAGAAAAGATGAGATTCATGTAAAGCTTTTGTTCAACTGTGCATAAAAAAAAATATCAAGAATGATAGGAAACACATCAAAAATCATGGACCTAGAAGCAAAAACCCACCTGAAAATCAGCAACATATGAACCCTAAATTGACAAGGCATGCCAGAGAAGTAGTCTTCTTCCTCTTCGCAACCCACTGTGGAGAATGAGAGCCACCGATCACAGCCATCTCAAATTTCCTCTCTCTAAGATTTTTGATTTGTCCATCTATGCATGTGTGTGTGTGTGCGTGTGTGTGTGTATAGACGCTTCGTCTGCCAACACCGTGTGTCCCCAGACTCCAAGGCTTTAAATAGGGGCTATTATTTTTTTTACTTTTTTGGTAAGCTTTTATTAGTTACTTTTTAGTGGGTAAAAATACTTTTGTAATTTACATTATAATAGTTAAATTATTTTTGTGGTATATAATTGAATTTATTTTCATTTTTTTAATTTAATCTAAAATTAAATATTGAATTACATTATACCGGATGTAGATTTATAATTTATGTAGCCATTTATAATTTATTATGGGTCCATCATTACATGTTTAGTATTTTTAAATATCACAACAAATGAATACTAATACTAATAATGGTAAATATTTTTATTTTTGTATTTTTAAATATCAAAAAATTTGAAAACTAAATGCTAATGATGTTAAATATTTTCAGTAACATTCTTATATTTCAATTTCACCAAATTTAATGTGTTAGATGATATATTTTGAACTTGTGATGTTTAAATGCTATTCTTTATATTTTTATAAAATTTTCATATTTAAAAAAAAAAAAATTGAGATNTTCACCAAATTTAATGTGTTAGATGATATATTTTGAACTTGTGATGTTTAAATGCTATTCTTTATATTTTTATAAAATTTTCATATTTTTAAAAAAAAAATTGAGACGTCTACCTAGCATTTTTTGTGTATCGCCTAATACCATTCCGCAACACCGCGACCGATATTTATCAGTGCCATCCGAGTCAACAACCGATACTGCAACTTTGAACCATGGTGTACATAGCTTGCAAGGTCTAGATTTTTCCCCTTTTTTCTTTTCCCACTATTCCTCTGCCTCTTATCTCTTCTGTCTAACTGGATTTCTTTTTCCAGTTCAAAAAATAATAAAAATAAAAACTAGATTTCTTTTCACAATTCTAAGTTATCAAGAAGAATCACAAGATGGCTATGGAGGATCAGTGCTAAAGCTTTTCTTAATATCTTTTAAAATATTCTATAGGTGCTATTTTTACTCTCACTTTTCTACCTTGGAAACATATTGGGTTCAATTGCCCAAAAAAAGTATTGAAATCAATCTTGGAACAAAACCTAACAGAAGCCCTCTGGGGGGCCATTTAATTTTGGAAAAATGACTCCAAAAGCCATTATTTAATTGCCGAGGGAGGAGTGAAAACCCTCACAAACCCAAAATCGATGTCTTCGATCCATCGATTGATTCATATCACAAGAATTACAAGCCAAACAGAGCTCCATCACAATTCTCACTCCTAGAATCAATCCCAATCAAAATCAACATACAATTGCTCTTAGTTTTGTTCTATCTCTCTATCTAAATTTCTCCATTAATTCCCCTAGCTTTGTCACTATTCTTATTATGATATCATTTCCTTAATTTGGGCAAAGTTAGTTTCCTAATACCTCAAAGTTTCTAGACTTTTCTTTGATTATCATACCAAGTATTCTTTCCCCCTCTATTTTCAATTACAGAACCATATTTCATCACCACATTTCCACAAATCTAGGGTTCCAAGTGTTCATGATTTCAAACTTTTTTGAGTTGAGAGAGATGGGGACCACAACAAGAAAGGGACAAAATGTTGGGCCCAAATAAATAGTACGGGATGAAAATTGCATCCGCTCTTTCATTATGGTGTTTAGATTTCTCAAGTCCTATCAAAAAAACAACTAAAATCATTATACACAACAAAATTGATGATAGGCATGCTTTTGGAAATTTAGGGACATGAGAGGGATAGGACACAAAGATGGACAAGCAACAAGCTATTGCACACAACTGGCCCAAGTTGTTCAATCCTCTCATACCAGACCAGACCACTTCACCTTCTCCTTTTACTATTCAAGCCACTGGTTTATTTACAGTTCATCATTTTCTAAGTTCTTTATTGAANTCAATCCTCTCATACCAGACCAGACCACTTCACCTTCTCCTTTTACTATTCAAGCCAAGCCACTGGTTTATTTACAGTTCATCATTTTCTAAGTTCTTTATTGAAAAAGTTCATTAAGAAACTGCATTATAAATCATGCTAACACACAAAGAACAAATATTTCAGTCTCTCTTAATCATTCATCAACCTTATGCAACTCTACTTGTACAAGCAGGGCAGAGAATACTCCTAGCTCATACAGGCTTCAAATCATTTCAACGACTCAAATCCACAATCAAGACAAATTACGAACTAGACGACAGCCTAACCAACCTGGAAGCCTGTCACCAGACCAATTAGAAGAATGCCTCAATAATGTTTCCACATCACTACTTGAAAGTGTCCGGATATGCCTGCAAAGAAAGAATAAATTCCAAAAAAAAAAAGAAAGTGAAAAAATGAGAATTGATTCACCATAAATGGCATAAAAATTTGTCAACCAGAATACAGTTAAATCCATCAATACTATGACCAATAGAGGAGATAAGGGTGAACTAGACGAACTTAGCAGATATTACAACATGCACGAAGACTGCCTCTTCAGTGGCAGCAAAGACGAATTCAATCATGGGCTGACCTTTCCTACAAAAGAGAACCAAACGTAAAATAGCCAAATTCTGGATTCAGCAATAAAACCAAACAATTTAGAGATGCTACAACTACCACCAGAAATAACACGTTTTCTAAAGAAGATTGAAAAAATATAATTATATAAGTTGATACACAAACAATCAAGCACACACAGAGACGTGAACATTTGACTTTGACCCACCAATTTAAGTTTTGACCAGGTAAGAAAACATTAATAACCTATGAAGCATATGTACTTCGTTAATGTCAATGTGTTTGTATCAGATACGGTACTCGTCAGATATTCGAGGATACGTATTGAAAACATACTAAATGTATCTCATAATAAATAAAATAAGAGGATACTTTGCTGATACTTCTATAAGTGAAGCAATACGTATACTTTTTAAATTTAACATACGGTGCATCAAAAAAAATCAATATGACTTTGAAGACACATGGGTGGTTTTTAAGTATTATTTACTACCACATGTCAAAAGAATATAAATGAGTTAATTGCATTATAATCCTATCAACAAATACTTTTAAGCAACCCAACTAGTTAAATGTTGTTTTTTATTCCTTTAATTAGTCACATTTACTTTGTAGATATACCATAATCAAACATTATATACCTTTTTGAAAGTAAATTGCAAATTTTGCTTATTATGGTTAGTAATGATTAGATAATCTAATGAAAAAGGCGAGAAACAACTTCATAGTCAACCTCCAACGAATGGGATAGATTAACTTGAGAATGATTGATAAGAATCCAGCACAAGTTACAATTATGATTCCTCTACTCACTGTCTCCACAGAAAGCCCCAAAACAAAAGCCACATACCTTTCTTTCCATGAGGAAAAATAGCAGATAACAACACCCAAAAAAGCCAAGCTACGCTGGACAAGATTGTTTAGGCCTTTTGGTAAGAAGGGGTACATGCAAAGCCCATCATCAACAGGCAAATGCAACGAGGCAGATCAATTGAATTTATTTTTATGTAACGTAGTTTATCAGAGGGGGCAAGGCCAGTGCATGCAAGGTTTCCAACGATTAAACAAATTAGTCGTAACAAAGTCCACCAAAGAGAGTTGGCCACAACCACTGGGCATTGTACATCCAAAATAAGAAATCTCGACCAAGGATCAAAATTTCGTTTCGGTGCATTATTTCGGTTACCTAGGAAATGGAAACGTTTCGACATGTTTCGGAAACGTTTCGAACCGTTTCTAAAATTGAATTGAAAAAAATAAAAAATTTAAGAATTATTTTTTCAAAACATTGGTCAAAATATACCAATATCTTGAAATAACTTAAACATTCCGAAATAATTTTGCAAATGTATTAAAATATAACAAAACATTTTGAAACATTATGAATACCTCGAAGTATTAGAATTTCGATTCTATCACTGATTCCTTTCGGTCTCCTTGGAAATGGAAACGTTTCGGATGTTTCGACCGTTTCGAAACGATATTTTAATCCTTGATCTCAACTTAAATTCCAAAATGGAAAGGCCTTGACTGCCGAATTTCCATTTTTATCTTTCCACTAAACTCAAAATATAAAATTAACCACCATATTCATACAACCTTACATAACTTTCACCCAAACTGAATCGAAACATCATCAATTTTGCTATAACTCTTACTACTAAACATAAGGTATCAAACAAACCTGAAGAGTTCTTCACCCTGCGAAAATGGCTGGCATCTTGAAAATACATCTCCAAATCTCAAGTATGAAAGTCTAATGAGTGCTCTGTCAATTCCAATAAAATTATGTCACCTTTTTTATTTCTTTATTTTTTTTATTTTTTTTTTTACAAGAAATTTCATATAAGTTAATCACTCTCATATTAAAAGAAAAGGAAAGAAAAAGTCTAGGATACGCAATAACATAACCTTTCTATACAATTCCTTAAAGCCTGAGATAAAGCAGCTGCAACCTCTTCTGAATCACCAGGAGCCAACCAGAGTCCAGATGCAATAACTTCCATGACAAATAAGCAATCAAAACTTATGTAAGTAATAAACTCCAATTATCATATAATCAAACTGTTCAAAATTTTGCAAGAAAAATGAGGCCATTACTAAAGTGGAAGGCAAAACGGATATATGCAGTCATTACAAGGAACCAATTCCAATTGAGAAGCAACTAATTCATAATATGCCATAAAAACCAATTGTAATCTGCAATCTATACTTTCACCATAAGGTCAATATACCTCTCAATTTAGAGACAGAAGCCTGAGCCTTCTCAACAACAGACGTGTGACGCCCAGGTAGAAATAGCCAGAGCTTGATCTTCTCATCTGTACATTTTATACAAGCAGATAGAAGTCAGAAAATAAATAATGGTAGCATGTCATTAACCACACAGCTTCTTTACCAGGGTTGTGTAAACCCTGAGATGGGTCCCAGGGTCCAACAAAAGAATTGGTCCACGCGCTGAGAAATCCCTCTGTCTGCAACAGCAGATGGGATGAAAGCACCAGCAATGTAGCAGCATCTTTCTGATCTACTTTCACACTACAAAATTATAAGAAAATCTAAATCAGCAGTGGTCAACAACATGCCGTACAGGATTAATTCTAGTTTTGTAAACAACACCACAAGAAATGCAACAACAACCAAAGTATAACTGTCCAACAACCAGACCTCTTCTCAGGCAGAGAGTTGAGATCAGATTCATTAGGGAGAAACTGGAACCATGATATTTGCTGTAGACCTCCCTGCAGGAATGGTTAACATAATCATGTGTCTATTATAAAATCAAACAATTACCATCTATTATCACAATTGGAATGTATAGACATCTAAGGAAGTAGAATAACAAAAAAACACCATTAAAATATTGCTTTCATTGAAAACATATGTGGAAAAAAAAAGAGCATTAAGGATTGAGAAGTTCTGATATTTAAAGTAGAAATTGGACAAAAGTCTAGAAACATACAATTTTGAAAACATTTGTCCACATCACAAGCATATGCTGAAGCTCTCCCTGATACAAAAACCAGCCAACCTCTGAATCCTATGAGAGATAACATACATCTGAAGCCTCAGTCCTAGCTCTAAACACGCACATACGTTGCAGTCTCTTCATAGAAAAACATCACCACTGAACACCACAATTATAGCAATCAGTATATATTAAATAAATAGAGGATAAATGATATGGGCTTAAGCTAAAATAGAGGACGAAAGAAGTTGCAATATGATGATCATAATTTTTTCTTTCTTTTGGTTTAAAAAAATGACATCCAGTAACAACTGTATCTTTCGATGGCAAAAGTCTTATACCAAGGGCAGCCAAAAAGGTCTATACTTGAGGCATTTTAAGAGTTCGATTTTCATATGATTGANATGACATCCAGTAACAACTGTATCTTTCGATGGCAAAAGTCTTATACCAAGGGCAGCAAAAAAGGTCTATACTTGAGGCATTTTAAGAGTTCGATTTTCATATGATTGTGAGATCGTATCTTTCCTTACTATGACATTCAGAGTTAATTTCGGTCTAACTCTACCATCAGTTTATCATCAATAGGTGCCGCATTACTCTTTCTTACCAGTTTATTTATATGTCTTCTATATACATATCCAAATCACCTCAGCTGATTCTCTCTTCAATTATCTCTATTGACACTACTTCTACCGTTTCACGAATATATTCATTCATTATTTTATCTTTCTTAATTTTACTGAACATCCATCTTAACATTCTCATTTTTGTCGCACATAATTTTTTAGCATGTTTTTTCGTAATTACACAACATTTTGTTCCATAAAGCATTACTAGTCTAATGGTTGTTTCGTAAAACTTGCCTATCACCATACGATGTATACGTCAATAACATAATAAGCCAAATGCAACATCCACCGAGCCCACCTTGCTTTGATTTTATGATTAACACCATCTTCATCTTCCCCTCCCATGGATAATGGACCCTAAATACCATAAGTGTTAGCTCTTTTATATCTCTAGGTTTCCGTTCTTTACTACCTCCCTATTGAATTTCTGCTATTATTCAAATTATATTGAATATATTTAATTTTATTTCTATTTATCTCATATCCTTTTGATTTTAAAACTTCTCTCCAAGCTTCTAGGTTATTAATTTCTACTCTAATTTTAACGATAAATTCAGTATCATTGGGAAAAATTTTACACCGCGGAACATTGTTCTGGATGTGTCTAGCTAATTCATTCATATTATTCATGGATATCCTATAATAAATTTCACACATCTATTATTGTAGACCCCATGGCTCCACCCCTCAATCGCCACCCACCCCCATCATGCCCTACCGCAGATTCCACAACCAGCCCCTTAACCTATTGACATGGTGTGTGAGAGATTTTTTTTTTTTTTTTTTTTTTTGGGGGGGGGGGGGGGGGGAAGAAGGTTTTGGGCATAGGGAACTAAGCTCCTTGCAAGAAAAACCCTCAACTTGTTTCTCTAAATTTTTTGCCTCCTAATATCTCTCTCTCTCTCTCTCTCTATGATTTCTTCTTTTTCGATATTCTAAGTCAACTTGAATTTGATGAATTGATTCTTGGATTGTATTATAGTGATAAGAGCGTAGAAGTGGAATGGTGCTAGTCATGCAGGGGTGGGGTGGTGGTTGCGTCTCTTTTCCCTCCCAAATTTAATTGTGCGCAATGGTGATGCACAATAGTGGGTGATTGTTCACCTTTCTCCTTCTCTTCCGAAATCAAAATCGAAATCAGGTTTGACTTTGATTTCAATTTTTTGGTTTTGAATTGGGTTTCAATCAAATGATGTTATTGAAGTGGTAGTGATGCAAGTTGGTGGTTGGGGGGTTGTTTGCTCCAGATTGGGTGCGTAGGTGGCAGGGATAGCTATTGTGGCAGGAAAGGAGAGTGGCTGGGGAAGGAGGAACTATGAATGGTAAAATAGAAGGGCAAATTGGAATTTTAATTCCTAAACCCAATCCTTTAGTAACTTCTGTGTCCCTGTACTCATTTCTATATAACATCGATAAACTAAAAGGATTGGGGAGCTCAAATGGGTTGACGATGCTGCAACGGGATGATGTGAATTCCGTGAATTATATGGGTCCACCATTAATAGATATCTATGTAACAATTGAATTATAGGGAAGAAGGCTTGGAAAACTTTGCCTTCCCGTTTCTTTAATTTTAAAATTTAAATTAATTACATTAAAAATAAAAATAAAATTCCCGTCCAATCACATCTACCACATGATTACACTCCAGGCTCTCACTATTTAATCACAACTCACTTAAGTTGTTTTGAAAAAATAGTCTTTATAACACTAAAACTTCACATGGTTCCCAAAAAACTTCACAAGAAATGGGGGTGTGACAGGGGGAAAGGAGAGGCAGGAAGGGTGAGGAAGGGGAATAGGAGGAGAGGACGTGGTTCTAAATTCCATATATCACATGGCTCCACAGCTAGTTTGTGTGTGTGATCACATATATAGTAACAGAGACGACATGGATGCTTATTTATTCCAGGGAAGTATTCCACGGAAATACATGGAAAAGTTCAAGTGTATTCAAAAACTAAAGGAAGAAAACCCTCATATAAACCCTACAACCTCCGCTCCATTTGGTCGATAATGCAAAGAGTAAAGTAATGGTACTTTGAATCTTACGACAGGATAGAGCTGAAATTCTACGTTCTCTTTTAATNAATTTCTACTCTAATTTTAACGATAAATTCAGTATCATTGGGAAAAATTTTACACCGCGGAACATTGTTCTGGATGTGTCTAGCTAATTCATTCATATTATTCATGGATATCCTATAATAAATTTCACACATCTATTNTGATGCAAGTTGGTGGTTGGGGGGTTGTTTGCTCCAGATTGGGTGCGTAGGTGGCAGGGATAGCTATTGTGGCAGGAAAGGAGAGTGGCTGGGGAAGGAGGAACTATGAATGGTAAAATAGAAGGGCAAATTGGAATTTTAATTCCTAAACCCAATCCTTTAGTAACTTCTGTGTCCCTGTACTCATTTCTATATAACATCGATAAACTAAAAGGATTGGGGAGCTCAAATGGGTTGACGATGCTGCAACGGGATGATGTGAATTCCGTGAATTATATGGGTCCACCATTAATAGATATCTATGTAACAATTGAATTATAGGGAAGAAGGCTTGGAAAACTTTGCCTTCCCGTTTCTTTAATTTTAAAATTTAAATTAATTACATTAAAAATAAAAATAAAATTCCCGTCCAATCACATCTACCACATGATTACACTCCAGGCTCTCACTATTTAATCACAACTCACTTAAGTTGTTTTGAAAAAATAGTCTTTATAACACTAAAACTTCACACGGTTCCCAAAAAACTTCACAAGAAATGGGGGTGTGACAGGGGGAAAGGAGAGGCAGGAAGGGTGAGGAAGGGGAATAGGAGGAGAGGACGTGGTTCTAAATTCCATATATCACATGGCTCCACAGCTAGTTTGTGTGTGTGATCACATATATAGTAACAGAGACGACATGGATGCTTATTTATTCCAGGGAAGTATTCCACGGAAATACATGGAAAAGTTCAAGTGTATTCAAAAACTAAAGGAAGAAAACCCTCATATAAACCCTACAACCTCCGCTCCATTTGGTCGATAATGCAAAGAGTAAAGTAATGGTACTTTGAATCTTACGACAGGATAGAGCTGAAATTCTACGTTCTCTTTTAATTTCCTTAAAATTCTCAACAACCAAACAAAAAAATTGCAGGCAGAGGGGGGAGAGAGAGAGNCTACGTTCTCTTTTAATTTCCTTAAAATTCTCAACAACCAAACAAAAAAATTGCAGGCAGAGGGGGGAGAGAAAGAGAGAGAGAGATTACCGTTGCTCGTCGGAAATTCACCAAATTCGGGCCCTAGCTGGGATTTGGATTTCTGAGTCAAGAGAGAAGTGATTTTCAGTTTGGAGTTGAAGCTCGAACTCGACGGGGTTGGGCGACCCCTGAAGATGGAAGGTTTAGGGGGATGGAGTGCTCAACGCCGGAGACTTGGCTTGGGTTTCGCTGATCTGAGAGGGGTTCGGTGGGGTGGGGTGGGGATTAATTGTTTTTTTTAAGTAAATTGTGCTAATAGTCGCTGAAATTTGTCCGTCATTGAACTTTAATCGGTAAAGGTTTAATTTTATCAATTTTGTGCCTCAAAATTAGACATTTTTGTCCCTAAGGGTCTATTTGGTAATCATTTTTGTCCGGTGTTTTGTGTTTTTATTTTTAATTTTTATCAAAAATAAAAACAAAAATATGTTTGATTAATATTTTTTGGTTTTGTTTTGTTTTAGTTATATTGGAGACAAAGACAAAAAAATAGGAACAAAAAATTTGTGTTTTCGAAAACACAAAACACGCGCGATTAGTATTAATGAGGTCTCANTGAAATTTGTCCGTCATTGAACTTTAATCGGTAAAGGTTTAATTTTATCAATTTTGTCCCTCAAATTTAGACATTTTTGTCCCTAAGGGTCTATTTGGTAATCATTTTTGTCCGGTGTTTTGTGTTTTTATTTTTAATTTTTATCAAAAATAAAAACAAAAATATGTTTGATTAATATTTTTTGGTTTTGTTTTGTTTTAGTTATATTGGAGACAAAGACAAAAAAATAGGAACAAAAAATTTGTGTTTTCGAAAACACAAAACACGCGCGATTAGTATTAATGAGGTCTCAACTTTGACTCCTTTTAGCTACAAAATACCACTTCATATGAGATAGTATATATATGTGGTCTTAATCGTTTGGTCCTCAGAACACAAACAACTCAGCATCGCCCCTTTTCTCTTATCTGTCTCAACGCCTCTCTACTCCTCTGTCTCAGCGAACTCTCTCAACAGTCAATCGAAGAAGGCTTACCTCANAAAAATAGGAACAAAAAATTTGTGTTTTCGAAAACACAAAACACGCGCGATTAGTATTAATGAGGTCTCAACTTTGACTCCTTTTAGCTACAAAATACCACTTCATATGAGATAGTATATATATGTGGTCTTAATCGTTTGGTCCTCAGAACACAAACAACTCAGCATCGCCTCTTTTCTCTTATCTGTCTCAACGCCTCTCTACTCTCTGTCTCAGCGAACTCTCTCAGCAGATCAATCGAAGAAGGCTTACCTTGAGAGAAGAGACTTCCAGTCACAGATCAACGAAGAAGGAGCTTTTTTCCGCTGTGAAGATTAGTGTAATCTCTTTATTTGTATAGATCTGTATATATATGCATAGATCTATATAGATCTGTACATGACAACCCCCATTTTTTGTTTTATCTGTATATATATGCATAGATCTTCCTTTTTTTTGTTTAATCTGTATTTTTTCACCACAATATACATAGATCTGTATTTTTTTTCTCCGTTTGTGTCTCTCTCTCTATCTCTCTCTTTGTCCATTTTCGTTTGACATTACTTCACATTCTATCTTCTCTTTGTAAAGCACATGAGTTTTTGGTCATGTACCTATTTAATTTTTTAAATGCTTCAGTAGATTTATATGTTAGTGTGTAAAGTGAATATTTTNGTTTTTGGTCATGTACCTATTTAATTTTTTAAATGCTTCAGTAGATTTATATGTTAGCGTGTAAAGTGAATATTTCTGCTTAATAGTCTTTTTTTTTTGTTAGGGTTTTAATTTGTATGTCTAAGCAATGTACTACATTTATCTAGTTTGTAGATTTTTTTGAGCCACTGATTCATTGATTTGAAACTCGGAAGAAAATGAAATTTTGAATACCCATGAATAAGGAAATCTTGAATACCCATGATTAAGAATTTTTTGAATTTTCAGACTNTTTTTGTTAGGGTTTTAATTTGTATGTCTAAGCAATGTACTACCTTTATCTAGTTTGTAGATTTTTTTGAGCCACTGATTCATTGATTTGAAACTCGGAAGAAAATGAAATCTTGAATACCCATGAATAAGGAAATCTTGAATACCCATGATTAAGAATTTTTGAATTTTCAGACCAGCCCAAGTTAAGTGTGTTGTGTAATTTATTCAAAGCTTCAATATATTCAAAAAATTGATGAAATTCCATTTATAACTCAGTAGCTATGACCTCAATTCTCATGTTAACTTAATACAGTGCATGTTAACTTTCTTGCACAACAAAGTCATACCCATAAACCTTTAAATTGCAGGGGGTGGGGGAGTTGCAGGGGTGAGTTTTGGTGAGGACTAACTTGCAGGGAATGGTTTTTGTTGTGGAATGAACTGCAGGGGGGTGGGTTTTGGTGTGGAGTTAACTGTCGGGGTGGGTACATGTTGCTTGCCTTTATTGTTTACTTGGATTTGATTTTAAATTTGATTTGTTTACTTGTACACCTTGATCCATGTTGCATTTATGAATTAGTAGTATGGTTATGTGTTGAGAAATTGTTGTCATAATTGAGAAATTGTTGTAGATGGAAACAGGTAATGAAGAAACTCATGATGATGAGGTTGTAGAGATTGACCATGACAAAAATGTAGTCATATGGACATTCAATAAGGAGGTAATTTTCATTGACCTGATGGATAGGGAAGTAGCAGTGGAGCATATACCAAATACTACTTTTACCAAACTTGGATGGAAAAATCTCGTAAGAAACATGCAATTAAGCACGGGGTACAACTACACGTATGAACAACTATAGAGGAAGTTTAATAATTTGAGACATATTTACCAAGCTTTCAAGAAACTGTTGAATCAAACTCGAGTTGGTTGGGATCCCGTGAAGAAAACAATTGTCTCAGAGTATGAGGTTTGGAAGGATTTATGCAAGGTAGGTTTTAGTATTGATTTATATCCATTTTTATTAACCATAATGACAAATGGTTTTAGTTTAATAAGTATTATTTCCCTTTCATTATTTTCATTTAATATAGGTTAATAAGCATGCCAGAAAATTTAGGAAAAAAGGGTGTCCACATTACAAGAAGTTGTGTAGGATTTATGAAAAGACAACGACAACCGATGATAATTCTCATCCATCCACCCAACCTCCATCAGACAATAAGGAAGATAAAGACCATACCTTTGATCCGTCACTTGAGGTTGATGATGATGAGGAGAATGTGGAGAAAGTTGATAAAGGGACAAACAACCATCCTCGAAGTAGGTCTAGCACTCCAATAACCAGTCGTCGTAGGAAGAAGGGTAACTATAGGGAAACACTTATATCTGCCCTTAATGTATTGGTTGAGAATTCAAAGAAGAAGTCAGAGTATATTGACTATAAGATGTCGAGTGCGTCTATGGCGACGACTTCATGTGATGATAGTGAGGTTGTTACGAACAACGATGATCTGTTAGAAAAATGTGTGGTTATGTTGAATTCTCTCGAAGACATTGATGTAGCTTCATATACAAAGGTCATTCAGATTTTTGGAGATGGTATGAGCTATAGGAAGATGTTCTTGTCTATGTTAGATCATAGGAAGAAAGACTTTGTTACTCACCTGTGATGGTTGTACTTTACCCTAACATTTTGGATGTGTACTTTGGGATTATGTTTTCTTTTGGATTATGTGGACTTTGGGATTATGCTTGCTTTTGGATCGTAGTTTAATTATTATGCGTATTTATAATGTTTTGTGATAAATGTCTAATATGTGCTTTACCTATGCATATTACAGGTAGACTTGAATATTGAATAATGAATTCAGATGAAGAATTTAATATGATATTAGATAGTGTGATGAGATGTCTATTGTATTGACTGCAATAGAATTAGATAGTCAAAATACATCACAATGATCATGTAGAACGTCTGCTCTTAAAGGTCATGATTATGTGTTAGAGCTATTACATGAACATAAAAATAGGTGCTATGAGCAATTTAGAATGAACACACCCGTGTTCGTGTTGTTTTGTGAGGCATTAAAAGAAAAAGGGTTGAAACACTCAAGGTTTGCAATCGTGCAAGAACAAGTTGCTATATTTTTACTCACAAAATCACATAATGAGCGAAATCGCATAGTAGTTGAAAGGTTTCAGCATTTAGGGGAGACCATTTCCAAATACTTTAATCATGTTCTGAAAGTAGTTTGTAGGCTTCGAGTTTATATCATCAGACCTTCTGATTTTAGTATGGTTCAACCTCATATTCATTTCAACCCAAGATATTACCCTTTCTTTAAGGTAAGTAACAGTAATTTTTAGTATATGTGCCAAGAAAATACTACTTTCAATGTTATTCATGTGTTTTTTTTTCTTTGAAGAATTGTGTTGGCGCCATTGATGGCACCCACGTTGATGCACATCTTCCAGTGGATTCCCAGATACCATACCGTGGGAAATGTGTTATACCAACACAAAATATAATATGTGCATGTTCATTTGACATGCGTTTTGTATTTGTAATGAGTGGATGANACCAACACAAAATATAATATGTGCATGTTCATTTGACATGCGTTTTGTATTTGTAATAAGTGGATGAGAGGGTACTGCTCATGACTCAAGAATATTTGTTGAGTGTGTTGCTAATCCAGCCAACAAGTTTCCAATGCCACCAGAGGGTAAGTGTAATTATGGAAGTTGTAATACTTATACATGAAACTAGACAATGAATCTTACACTTATAGTATTTGATAGATAAATACTATGTTGTGGATTCGGGCTACACAAACATGCCTGATTTTTTGTCCCCGTATCGTGGTGTGAGATATCACCTGTGTGACTATAGATATAGGGGGTTGACAACCAACCGGGAAAGAAGAACTATTCAATCATCGTCACTCGTCACTTTGGAATGTGATAGAGCATTGCTTTGGAGTTCTAAAGGCTCATTTTCCCNGGGGGTTGACAACCAACCGGGAAAGAAGAACTATTCAATCATCGTCACTCGTCACTTCGGAATGTGATAGAGCATTGCTTTGGAGTTCTAAAGACTCATTTTCCTATTCTGAAGTTAATGCCTCCATATCCCTTAACCATCCAGAAATACATTCCCACAACATGTTGTACAGTGCATAATTTCATACGAATGCATTCTCATCAAAATCAGTTATTTGACGAGTGGGAAAGAAGAGAATTTGTTGATAATGAAAAAACTGTAGCAGGATTAAGTTCACAGGTTCCAATAGAATTAGACATAAGTCCGAGTCAACTGCATCAAATGGCTCGTGTTAGAAATACAATTGCAGATCAATTGTGGGCATCAACTCACCATTGATACATGTCCTACTGTTATTATTTATTATGATGATAAAAATGTGTTGGTACTTGCATTGTTATATTGAATTTAATGTTTGTATGACTAATTTTACTTGTTAATGTTAATGTAATTAGGTGTGTTATAATGACACGTATTGACCCTCCATGCTCGTGTGGATCTAGGAACACGAATATTTTGGTTGTAAGGACCAAGCGAAACAATGGGCGAGCTTTTTATCATTGTCCACGATGGCATGACCATGATAATTGTTTCCTATGGGTTGATAAGTACAACACAATTACAAATGAACATCATGTGATTCCTCAAGCCCAGTCAAGATGGAGAGAGAATAAATGGATCACTATTTTCATGCTTGCTTGTTGTGGTTGTAATTTGATCATTATTTGTGCATTATTGTTCATGGTATTTGTACTAATTATTGAAATTTTAGTCAAGTGATATGATTTATTAATGTGTGTATTTGGTTGTATGTTGAACAATATGATGTATGAACTGTGGGTAGTGACTTATGTAATCTTATTATCTTTATTTAGGTGTTCTTTGATGAATTAGTGAATGTTTTGGTTTAAGGAATTTTTGGATTTGTATTTTGTTGTATGATATATTATAAAGTGTATTGAAAGAGATATGGAGGTTGCTTGAGGGTTTGCAATTTCAACTAAAACATATATATCGGGAAGCTAATGCTTTAGATGGCCTCATTTGTTGTTAGAAACTGGTTGCTTCACTGACTTTTTTGGCAGTGGTATTTTGTTTTTTCTGTTAAACAAATTTTTTGTTTTAGTTTGATCCATGTTGAATAGAATCTGTCTGGATTCAACTGGGAAGAGAGGTTCTGGGTTATTTCAGGACTTAGAGGTGCTGTTTGATGTGCCACGACCTGATTTGCATTGGTCAGGTTGATCAGGGAGGTTTGCAAGCTCATAACATCTCACCTAGGGTAGTAAACTCTGTTTATGACCAATCTCATCTTTGTTCTCTTAATGTCTACTCTATTTATACCATATCTAAATTTGCTAAATGGATACGTTGGGAATTACCAACTGACAGAAATCTTAAACTCAATATTGATGGTGCCTCTAAGGGTAATCCAGGACATTCTAGTGGAGGAGTGGCTCTGAGAAATCATTGGGGTATTCTGGTTCTTGCTGGATCCTTCTTCTATGGAGTTTATACTAATATGGAAGCGAAATTGAGGTCTTTGCTTGATGGTTTGCGTTTGTTAAAAGAGTTTTGTTTGGAGGTTTATCCACTTACTATTGAAAGTGATTCCTAGGTTTTAGTTGACATGGTTAAACAAAAAAAGTTGCTTAGTTGGAGACACTAGAACTTTTCTTACCAAATCTTTTCTTTACTTGAGTATTTCGACTTTCAAATCCAGCATTCATATAGAGAGGGAAATAATGTGGCAGACTCATTGGCAAATCTAGGTGTTCAGAACAAAACCTCTATGACCTATTCCTCTTCTTTAACACTACTTATCCAAACCAAGCAATTACTATGGCAAGATCAGAGATAGATTAGATCTCTGCGTTCTAAAGTTACAACTTCAAGATTGAAGTCACAACTTATATAGCATCTACCTTTATTCATGCTAATGAACTGGTTTCTTTTGGGGAAACAAATTGATCATGATTCTTATTCTACTTAAGCAACTGAATGTAGATCACATACAAAGAATGAGGCGTGAAGTTTTTTCTAAACAGCATGCACGCAAAGTACAGGAATTCATTTCACAAGGAAAACAGTCCAAATCTCAAATAAGGGAGAGGTTTTCCAAAAGTAAAGAGTTTCAAGAGAAAACTACTATGGCAGGCACTTGGTTGTTCCATTGGTTTCTTCAAAATTTTCTCTATNGCGTGAAGTTTTTTCTAAACAGCATGCACGCAAAGTACAGGAATTCATTTCACAAGGAAAACAGTCCAAATCTCAAATGAGGGAGAGGTTTTCCAAAAGTAAAGAGTTTCAAGAGAAAAATACTATGGCAGGCACTTGGTTGTTCCGTTGGTTTCTTCAAAATTTTCTCTACATCGATCCCTCTACTCACTCTTGTTGGATTCAGATCACAGCTTCCTGCTTCAACCTCTTCTGTTGGACTTCTCTTCTGGCCTTCTGTTGATTTTGTCTCTACAAATTCTTTATCTCAGCAATCTTCTTGGCTTTGGGCTTCAATGACCGTCTGCTGTTGCTGCTGCTGGATGTTCTCTTTTGTGCTTTACAANTTCTCTTCTGGCCTTCTGTTGATTTTGTCTCTACAAATTCTTTATCTCAGCAATCTTTTTGGCTTTGGGCTTCAATGACCGTCTGCTGTTGCTGCTGCTGGATGTTCTTTTTTGTGCTTTACAGTGATCTTTGGTCGCATTCACCAAGTTGTTTGGCTTTCTGGTCTCTTCGGATGCTTTTTCTTTGTATTTTGGTCTTTTTGGAGGGATATTGATCTTATCTGTTTTTTGATTTTGAAGAATAGCTAGATATTCATCTTCTTCAGTTTGAGGTTTAGAAGAGTTTTTTGGTTCTCATCATTGTGCATAAGATTTCTCTCAAGTTGCATTAAGAGGAAGGGGATCATCTTCGATTTGATCCTCCTTATAAATGGTCTGGGAGTCTTCAAAGGTCTTTTCTCGAAGGCCTCTGACCTTGTTAATACTGCCTTATCAGATGAATTTTCAAATTTGCCACCACTTATCAGATCTGACTTCTTAGCTCTGTCTCATCATCTACTTATTAGATCTGCTTATTTAGTTCCCTTTGAAGATAGCTTATCAGATGTTCTCTCAGCTCGATATCAGCCTATGCTCATTTCTTATTTCAGCCTCATTTATAGCTCACAACTCAAGGCTTACCAGTCCACTCATTCTCTCAGCAGGATCCCCTCTGCTCAGTCATCTCTTACTGCTCAGGCTACTAGTTCTCTCGATTCCAATTATCAGCTCAATTATAATCACTTGCAGCTGGTCTTTAATGCTGCCCACACCTCAGTTGCACTTTCCAACTGATTATGCTATTTTAGGAGCTGCATGTTTAGTATGGAAATGGGGCATGCATTGTTCTATTTCTGAGTATGGAAGGGGGCATGCAGACAGGAGTTTTTTGTAAGAGAGGGGGAAGGGCCTAACATTTGAACTCTGCGGGATTACTTAAATCCAACAAGAAACAGTGTCCCCTCTTGTTTTATCTTTCTTGAAGATACACCCCTCTTTACTATAAAGATGGGGACAATTCAACTACTCCCTTAATTCCATGGACTCGAAACAGAAAATCCATATCTGCACATAAAAGAGTCTGAGGAAGTATGTGGAACGTTTCAAGACAATTCTGAGCTAGCCAAAATGAAACTTTTTTCATTTTCTGTAAAAGATAAAGCTAAACAATGGCTAAATTTTTTAAAAGCTCTTTCAATACCTGACTAGCGGGCACTATAAAATAAATTTTTCAGAAAGTTTTTCCCTCTATACAACACTAATGCACTGAAAAGGCAAATCATAAATTTTTCTGTCAAAGAAGGAGAAACCTTTTACCAAAGTTGGGAGAGATTCAAGGATCTACTCTAGTCCTACCTACACCATGCTTTTGAGAATTGGACTTTGGTAGGAGTTTTATATGACTCCTTGCCCACTAGACTACGTCAGTTTATTGAAATGATGGCTCAAGGAGAGTTTATGAGCAAGAGTCCTGAAGAGGCATTTAATTTTTTTGACACCATATCTGACAGTTCTCAGATGTGGGACTCAACCTTCCCTACCATTATTGAAGTCAAACCATCTACTTCCCAAGAGGGTAAGTATGTCTTGAGAGATGATAATGACCTAAGAACAAAAATGTCCTCCCTATCTCGAAAGCTTGAAGCTTTAGAGATGAAAAATGTTCATTAAGTTGATGTTGGCCCTCCCATAGAACAAGTGTGTGGGATTTGTGTGCTAACAGGACACCCTACTGGGGAGTGTCCAACCATTCCAGCATTCAAAGAGATTTTGTTGGAACAAACAAATGTCGTTTCCAACTTCAATAAGCCTTACTCCAACCCATACTCTGAAACATACAATTCAGGGTAGAGAAANCAAACACCTAGGAGAGGACAAAGAAGAGAGATAAATAAATTCCATTGAGTCGTTGGTTCAGGGACATTTGAATAACACATTCTATGAAAATCTCATTGAAACTTCTTTGTCAGAATCCATCATATCCGAGACAACAGATGATGATCCAAAAAATTACCCCACTCATGCTGTTGAGACATGGGCCCCCAAATATGAGGAACTTTTACTAAGTGGCACAAAGCGACTCACATCAAGTGTCAGGCCACCAAAGCCTGAATAAAAACCACTCCCATCTGATCTCAAATATGCATTCTTAGGAGAAAATGAGTCATACCCAGTGGTAATTTCATCTAAGCTCACAAACCTCCAAGAGTCTAAATTGATTGAAGTTCTTAAAAGCCATAAAAACACCATTGGATGGACCATCGCTGACTTGAAAGGTATAAGCCCGTTAATCTGCAATCATGTTATATACCTAGAAGAGGATTCAAAACCCTCTTGTCAAATGTAGCGACGACTAAACCCTCACATAAAGGAAATTGTGAGAATGGAAGTGCTTAAGCTTTTAGATGTAGAGATAATATTTCTCATCTCCGATAGCAAATGGGTTAGTCCAACCCAAGTTGTGCCCAAAAAAGTCTGAGGTCATAATGGTCAAGAATGAAGCCAATGAACTAGTACCAACTAGAGTCATCATAGGAGGACGAATATGTATTGACTATTGAAAACTCAATTTGGTGACTTGGAAAGACCATTTCCCTTTATTGACCAGGTTCTAGAGAGCATTGCAGGCGATGAATTTTACTGTTTCTTAGATGGGTATTTCAGGTACAATTAAATTGAGATAGCACTCAATGATCAGGATAAAACCACATTCACATGCCCCTTTGGCACCTTTGCATTCAAAAAGATGTCATTCGGACTTTGTAACGATCCTGCAACATTCCAAAGATGCATGTTGAGCTTGTTAAGTGACATGGTCGAGAGATTTTTGGAGGTGTTCGTGGATGACTTCTTTGTCTATTGTGACTCATTTGATTCATGTCTGGCCAACCTAGAGAAGTTATTGGTAAAATATCGGGGGCCAATGTAGTACTTAATTGGAAAAAAAAATCCATTTCATGGTAACACAAGACATTGTCTTAGATCACATTGTGTCATCTGAGGGCATGAAAGTTGACAAGGCAAAAATAGATCTGATTGAGAATTTGCCTGCTTCCAAGACTATAAAGGATGTCTGATCATTCCTAGGACATGCAGGCTTTTACAAGAGATTCATAAAAGATTTCAGTACCATAGCAAAACTCATGTGTCATCTTCTGAGTTAGGACGTAATTTTTGTGAGGAGTGAAGCATGCCAAAAAGCTTTGGATAAGCTTAAAGGCATGTTAATTTCTGCCCTAATAATGCAACCCCCTAATTGGACTCTACCCTTTGAACTAATGTGTGATGCAAGTGATTATGTTGTAGGTGCTATGTTGGGGTAAAGAAAGGATAAGAAACCACATGTGATTTACTATGCAAACAAAACTTTGAATGATGCTCAAATGAATTACTCAACAACTGAAAAATAATTGCTTGTTGTAGTTTTTGCTATGGAAAAATTTCGTTCCAACAAGATAGGATTCTTGCTCTTGTTGGTTCTTCTGTTACAGTATTCACTGACCATGCAGCCCTAAAATTCTTGCTCACAAAGAAGGATGCTAAGCTTAGGCTCTTAAGATGGATACTCTTACTCGAAGAGTTTGATCTGATCCTTAAGGACAATAAGGGTGTTAAGAANCTTGAAAGGTATAAGCCCGTTAATCTGCAATCATGTTATATACCTAGAAGAGGATTCAAAACCCTCTCATCAAATGCAGCGACGACTAAACCCTCACATAAAGGAAATTGTGAGAATGAAAGTGCTTAAGCTTTTAGATGTAGAGATAATANGTATAAATTTCACGAGGATGGATTGTCAATCAATGAAAAATTGTCCGATGAACAACTTTTCAAAATTGATGAGACCCCATGGTACGCTGATATTGCTAATTTCCTTGCTACTGGAACGCTTCCTCCGTCCTTCATCACCATGGACAAAAAGAAATTTCTGAGGGAGGTTCGTAACTTTNTTCTCATCTCCGATAGCAAATGGGTTAGTCCAACCCAAGTTGTGCCCAAAAAGTCTGAGGTCATAATGGTCAAGAATGAAGCCAATGAACTAGTACCAACTAGAGTCATCATAGGAAGACGAATATGTATTGACTATCNAGTACTATAAGGATCAAATCATAAGGCGTTATATCCCCGCTCAGGAAAGTAGACAGGTAATAATATTTTGTCATTCTGAAGCATGTGGTGGCCATTTTTCATCAAGGAAAACAGCTGCAAAAATATTGCTATGTGGATTTTACTGGGCCAAACTTTTCAAAGATGTCCATGTTTTTTGTTTAAATTGCGATAGATGCCAAAGGTTGGGGAGCATTTCAAAAAAAAAAAAACATAATGCCCTTAAACCCCATTTTGGTNGATCAGGATAAAACCACATTCACATGCCCCTTTGGCACCTTTGCATTCAAAAAGATGCCATTCAGACTTTGTAACGATCCTGCAACATTCCAAAGATGTATGTTGAACTTGTTCAGTGACATGGTCGAGAGATTTTTGGAGGTGTTCGTGGATAACTTCTTTGTCTATGGTGACTCATTTGATTCATGTTTGGCCAACCTAGAGAAGTTATTGGTAAAATATCGGGGGCCAATGTAGTACTTAATTGGAAAAAAAAATCCATTTCATGGTAACACAAGACATTGTCTTAGATCACATTGTGTCATCTGAGGGCATGAAAGTTGACAAGGCAAAAATAGATCTGATTAAGAATTTGCATGCTTCCAAGACTATAAAGGATGTCTGATCATTCCTAGGACATGCAGGCTTTTACAGGAGATTCATAAAAGATTTCAGTACCATAGCAAAACTCATGTGTCATCTTCTGAGTTAGGACGTAATTTTTGTGAGGAGTGAAGCATGCCAAAAAGCTTTGGATAAGCTTAAAGGCATGTTAATTTCTGCCCTAATAATGCAACCCCCTAATTGGANTCCTCTCCAAGCTCAACATAGCGGTAAATTTGAAACATTGGGGACAATGTTCAGTTTAGGTTGGGGGGTGAGAACTAAAGTTCATATTTTGTACCCGTAATTTTTTTTTTGTTTTTGCTATTTCTGATCATATTGTGTACCTTACCTTGTATTTTGTATAAATTAATGATTATGTCTGGGAGTCAACTTTAATTGTCTTTGTAACTGACAGACGTTAAAGAACTAGATAGTGAGTCTTAAAGCATAAAAAACATGGATGTTAAACTTTTTTGGTTTAGTTTGGGAGTTTTGCGCACTTTTCCATCTGATGTGCATGCTGAGATCATGAGAAAAGCAAGATTGATAAAAAAGAATGAGATCCGAGAAAAACAAGAAAAACCCCTTTGTGGCAGAAACATTTTTGCTAAACACCGTCGTGCCAAAAAACTGGGTGCCTGTAAATAGTGTGGCATAGTCTTTCACGAGAAAAGATACAATCAGTGTTCTGAACCAATTTTCAGTCGTGCACTCAATCGATTAGACTGGATAGTGAATGAGTTGAGTAAGGATTACCCTGAGAAGTCGTGTTATTCCGGTATTTTGCTTAACCGGTTTGTGAGAGAGGAAATTGGGAGAGTCATTGGTTGTTCTAACTACACGGATACGGAATGAGACTCGGATTAGATTATTCTCTGTGAAAAATTGTGTTTTGTTGGGATGAAAGCCAATGGTCCAAATTTTTTGTAAAAAGTGTAAAAGTCTTTTTGTACACACTCTTTTGACTAAAATGAAAATATGAGCTGAGTAAGGAGTGTCCCAGAATACCAGCCTGAAGTGTGGGTAGGGACTTATCCTGAGACGCCATGAATTTTTGGTTCAAACTTGTGTGTACAAACCTC